AGGCGTAATGGAACCGGTAAAAAAAAAAGTATTATCCACGAATGGTACCGGTGTGTTGTTTGATATTTTGAAATTGTTTTTTTTTTTAAATGGTGTTTGGGATTTTATTTATTTTTTAAAAACCCATTTCGAATTTTTGATGGATTTGAACTATTTCAGACCTTTGATCGATTTGAGGAGCGGGGCGTCCCGGTTCCATGGCGGGTCGCCGTGCGCGGAGAAATCCCGGAGCTTCAGGTACGAGATGGTGAGCTTGATGATGGACGCCTTGTCCAGCTGGGACGTGATTGCCCCCGGCAACGGCAGCATCTTGGCCAGCTCGTAGAATTCGTAGTTCTCCTTTCCCCTCCGAGATCTCGCTGCGTCCCGGCTCTTCTCCTTCCGCAGCTCCAATATGCTGCGGGGAAAAATAAAATAAAATATAATATAATATGGAATATAATATAATATTAAACATAATATTAAATCATATAATATTAAACATAATATTAAATAATATAATATTAAACATAATAATAAATAATATAATTGCAAAAATGAAATATATATATAATTAAATTTGAAAAACTTTAATTAAAATAAAATTTACAATTTGAAGGAAAATTTGATGAAAAATAGAATAGAATTTTTTAAATAAACTAAAATAGGAAATTCAATGCAAAAAAAAACTGCAGAAAGGGGAAATGGCGGAGAATGGGAGATTGCCGTTTACGACTTTCATTTCCATCGAATGGGTTTCGAGTTCATCAGAATGGAGGGAACCGAACCATTTCGGGAAATCGAGGGAAGGACGGAAAAGGGGATAAGAAGGGGGAAAAGAAGCGAAATTCAAATAATTCTGGGCAGCCTTTCTATTATTCCACCCCAGACAATCGAACCGGGAAGAGAAAAAGGAAAAAAGGAAAAAAAAAAAACGGACAGAAGGCACCAGGGGAATTTGGAGAGAAAAAAAAAAAAGCCGGGGATATTGTTCCCCGAGGCAATAAATCAAGCTTCTATGCAAGGGACCTGGGATCTCATTCTTATTCCGATGACATAGCAGAGACTCGGCCCCAGATATATATAAAGGGGACAAAGGGAAGGAAAACTTTAATTTCTCTGGTGGCCTCTTTAGCCGTTGAGAGTGGACATGGGGCCTCCCCCCATTTTCCAGCTGGCTAATCATTGCCCGGTCCGGATTTATCTGTCCCCTGGGCCTCAAGGTAATCCCGATTCAATCCCGACCCCCAGATATTGTCATTGCCCCCCGAGCATGCAAATAAATGGCACGTCCTTTTTCTTTCTCGCCCTTTCCCTGATCAATGCTTGTTCCGGGCCTGAAAAGAAGTAGGATGCCCCTGACGAAAACAAAAGAGGCGAGGAAAAAAGCTCTCCAGCCCGAGAGTGACCAAGTGGAACTCGACAAAAAGGAGTCTTCCTCCTCGTTTCGAACGGGCGGACGAAAAAAAAAAAAAAAAAAGGAGGAAAGACAGGGGGGGAAAAGGAGGAAAGACGCACTGAATGGGTGGACACCCACCTCACACGCGACCAAAGCAACGATCCATGCTTCGTTTGTTTTTGTTTTCAACCGGCACCGAATGCCCCACGAAAGGCCCCGAGGATCCATCGCGGAGCGATTTTCGGCTTTTGGCGAAAACCGAACCCACATCCGCGCATGATTGCAAAACAACAATTCCGCGAGATCTTTCGCGAAGATCCGACTGGTACGAGTTCGCAGGATAAATGCCATGACATCGCAAGGTGTCATCTCATCGAGCGGCCTTCATTCATTTATTCTTCTCTTTAGAGCATCCAAGAAAATTAGATTCACTCGCAAAAAAAAAATAAAATTTGAAAGTCAAACAAACACCCAGTCGTGCCCAAAAAGAAACAAGGGATATCCCATCTCAAGGCTCGTTAGACCCACGAGGCGAAGTTATGTAAAGGTGGCGAATGCACGAATGATGTTGATGAAGGGGGGAAGGAGGTCCCTAACGAGGGGAAAGCGGACAGAGGGGGTGGCGGTGGAGAGTTGATTGTCGTAATAAGGCGTGAAGTCCTCTCCTCCTTTTCCCTCCCTCCTGCCTCCCTCCCTCCCTGCCTCCCCCCCCCTTGAGTAATCAGAATGCCATTTCTACTCCGGGCCCCCGTTGCCGGACGGGCCTTTGATTTGATTTCCATTCCCTTATCCGTCCCCCTCCTTTTTTTTCCGTCGAAAGCCCCACACACTCGGGTGTATCCCTTCTCTAAACAACGCCTTTTTTTTTGCGAGGAAACCAGACCGGTCATGAAGAATTCAGTGCGGTCGACAGATGGACCTCTCCCCGGGGACGACTTCGATTGCAAAGAAGCCTCTCTCCGTCGTTTCTCTCTTTTCGGGAGACTACCAGACTACCAGGACTACCGAGTGGAAGCAATCGAATTTCACTCGAAGGTGAAGACACGAGCATGAACAAGCGGTCGAGACGGCAAATCGCTTAAGGGTAAAGAAAATCAGTAAAATCGCTTAAGCACACGGCGCCAATCTTTCTGCTAAATGGGGTGAAGCCAACAAGCCCAACGACCGTTTTTTAACAGCCTGAATCGCGGCGCAGAGAAGCGTCCGATTTCACGCGATGCTGCACGTCAAACGTATCATTCAGCCGTCAAGGTTGACTCGACGACTCGCGGCGAGACCCGGTCACGTAACCGCCGGTATATGGAGAACCCCAGACACGAACCCGACACATCGTGAGCGGCATGAAAAAAAAATCCTGATCTACGTGCACACGTGCCTGCGATGGGAACTTCGGCGTCTCACGTCTCCTCATGGTCGGATCATTTCGGAGCCGACACCCTCGCACGGATTCACATGTCTGAAGGTCGATAAGCCGACCGGAATCCCGACGACCTGTTTTTTTTTTTACGATGCATTTCCCTTTAAAAAAAAAAAAAACGGCGATTGCGAGTGCGTGCCGGACTTTCCCCTAATTTTAGCATAAATTTTAATAAATAAAAAATGTTCACAGGCTCCGCAAAAAAAAATGAGAGGAGGCGAATGTCTCCCGCTGACACGAACGTTGCGAAAATCGTCGCATAATTATCTCATTTCCATGCTCATCTCTCCCCATTGAGAAAAACACGGGAGATAATGAAAAACACGTTGAGAGGGGAAAAGAGGGATAAAGAAGGAAGCGGATGGGCAAACACTACGATATTACCCATTTCGTGTCACTTCTCCATCTTTATTGTCACGGTATATCCGGGCGAGCGATCGAATGAAATCAACACCATGATATCCCTCGATGCCTCTTTCCTCCCTCTTTCCTCCCTCTTTCCTCCCTCTTTCCTCCCACTTTCATTCCCACTTTCGTTTCCCTCTTTTTCCCTATTTCGCCTCCTCCCGCGGGGATGCGTTTTTCCTCTCATCGGCTCCTTTTTCGCCGCGTTTTCCCCGCGAACGTTCGGGGAATCCGAACTGGGTGAATCTCGCGAATCTCGCGAAGCCGCAGTCGCCATGGCGAAATTCGAAATTCTGCTCCAGCAATACTTAAATACTTCTGAGATCAGAAGTACTTGAAAGAATTTCTTTGAGTTTTCATTTTGTTGCAATAAACAGAAAATCTTGGAGATTACAACGTGCATATCAAGAATATTTTGCGGAACGAGTTTGTTAGAACGAGTTTTGCACAGAAAACTGCAAAACTCGTTCAGACTCAGCACCAAATGGCAAATGGCAATTCCTCAAGGGCGACTTCGATTCGGGCCATTCTCTTGTCGCTAATTCGCTGATTCGCCTCCATTTTTTTGTGCATCTCTGCCGGCGAACCTCGCGAACAGACGGAACCTGGGAATGACTCGGCCGGATTGAAGGGATCGCGGATCGTGTCCGGCTTCTACCGGTTCGTGTCCGGCTTTCACCGGATCGTGGCTCCCCAGCGACTCCCACGAATTTAGCACTCTGCCGATTATTGGATGGATTGAAAGGACGGTTCACACTTACGCGGTCAAATCGCTCCTAACATCGCTCCTAACATCGCTCCTAACATCGCTACTAACATCGCTAATAAAACTGCTACTGATTTTGCGAATGGAATTTATACTAAAATTTCTGCTAAAATTGCTATTGAAATCGCTACTAAAATCGCGCATAAAAGTGAGGCATAAAAAAACTCGAGGATATAGTGCAAATTCCGGTCGCTCCCGCTGCAGACATGCCAACAGGGGAACAAACCTCAATTCACTCAATTCTGTCTTTTGTCGCAATGTAATCGCCCCCGTGATGTACGAGCAGTTGAGCGAACAAAGCGGAAAATGATTCAGGGGGAATTCCTTTTCCTTGTCGAGGTTTCGCGAAGCGAACGATTCCAGCTCGTTGAGCGCCTTGAAATAGCCCAGTCATTTTCTGGAATTTTTTTTCCAGCAGAAAAAATTCGCGGAGGGAAACGCTGAAGAATTGTCAAATTGTTGCTGAATAAGCGGATGCGTAAGCGCATTTTCTGCTGAAATTTCGCAACAGCGAAAAGCTTCAGCTTGCCGGTTTGGCGCCGATTCAGCGGCTGTCGCCCATGAATCCGCCGCGAAATTCGCAGCGACGATCGCAGATCCGACAGGGAAAGTCGGGAACGAAAGATGACCATGGAATTTTTTTTTCCTGCCGGATTCCACTCAAGAAATCGAGCGGCGTGCACTGAGGATTCCTCTCTGTTCGAATTCCGCAGAAAACTGGAATCGGGAGCCGACTTCAGCTTCCTGCGCGATTCCGTCGATGGGACAAACCGTGCGACGATGGAAGAAGCGATCGGAGACGAGAGAAAAAAAAAGAAAAGGAAAAAAAAAAGAGAAGAGTGGGATCGTGTGAGCATGATGAAGTGAGACAATGGCCTCGTTGCAAGGCAAGCAGCGGACATGATACAGCGGTTCTGCCTTCCCTTTTTCCCCTCTCCTCTTTTCTTCTCCCTCCGCTCTGAAAGCCATTTGTCAGAGCGCTGACGTGCACAAGACTCAACAGCGACAAATTTGGAGACACGAAAAAAATTGCATGCGGGGATCCTGGTCGTGACCCGGGCTCGGAGCACGGGCTCGGAGCACCGGGAAGTCCTGCGGGCCTGGCGGAAGGACAGGCTGACGATGACCGGCGACACCGTCGGGAGCCCGTGCTTCCGTCGCGCGAAAAGCGAGAAAAAGTGAGAGAAAAAGCGAAAACGCACCAAGAATGGGCGAAGGCGGGCGGCATGGGGTGTCGAGGGTGATAGGGCGAGAGCCCCCCATACTCGGTCATGGGGGGCATGGCCTGATAGGGCAACATGCTGTACATGATTCAAGGGACAAACGTGGAGTCACGTCCCGCTGCCGTGAGGCTCATGAGAAAACAACACTCACTCCACGCTCCAAGAGGCTCATAAGCCACACGGGGAGGGGGAAGGGAAGACGGGGAGGGAGGGATCGGGGGAGGGCGGGGCGTCCCCGTCTTCACGCAACCGCTATCCCTTCCTCGGGGAGGGGCCGCACCGGGAATTCCTCCAATCTCGGGACGCTGAACTCCCCCGTCTTTTCCTCTTTTTATCCTCGCCGACGTCTCCTCGAGAGAGAAAGACCCGGCCAGAGAGACAGACAAAAGCCCGACCCGTTCTTCCTCTACACGGCTCATCGGAATCGAAGAGAAATCGGCTGGAACTGCGTTCCCATGGACCGAGGCAAGGAGAGGCCTTTCCGTCTGAGTCATGCCAATTAAACGTCCCCTGTTTTTTTTCTTCCCCTTGCTTCGTCCTTTTCGGTCGTCTGTATGCAAATGAGACGGGTCGCATGAAGA